CGCAGCTGCAGCGTTTCTAAACTTCTCCGTTTTAGGTCTTCGTTTTTCCCGTTTTAGTCTGGACGGGAGGTGCAAACGTAGCAAAAGGTCTCCGTTTTTAAACGAAAATGCAGTAGTGTGGACGGGGCCTTAACCTCTAGTTGCTCCAGAGGTGTAAATGAATAAATTTAAATGTAAATGTAGACAGCTGGAACCACAATTTGACTATTCCACTAACGGCACCCACTTTCTCATCAATATAGCATCTTTGATGGTGGGTGAGGAGATTCCCCCCTTCTATGTAAAGACTTTTGAGTCTAGAGAAAAGCGCTATATTTAACAAATTAATTGTTAATCTGTGAGAAAGTATGCCTGGGGCACACTCACACTTTCTTGTTCTATACCAATTAAATCAATAGAGCAAGAGTACGATCTGACCTTTGAGCAGCAATTAAAGGTATAGCGGAGGATCTTTCCGAATTTTAGAAAAGACCCGCCCTCTCCAATTTTTTTAAAAAAATGCACATGCACAAACACAACACTCTTGCTCCCGAGAGGGAACGCCTATTATGCCTCGCGCAATTATGTTGCAAATTATAAACAAACTCAAAAACATTCATAAAAAAGACAACATGTCAAATGCCCTTTCGTGTTTTATTTACTTATTATACTGATCGATTGAGTGACCGAGGACTCAAGACATGATATGTACAACCCTCTATCACACGAAATACGTTCTGAGGAAACTATTTTGCAATCGCAATTACGTTAAATGGCAACATATAAGCAGAATCGCAATTACGTTAAATGGCAACATATAAGCAGTGCTATGTCTCATTGTCGTAGGTTTTAATACGTTATTTTTACACATAGTTGCATATGTAATGGAGAAGTAGCTTGTTGCATTTGTGTAATAATAAACACACAAGGTTTTAGAATATTTCAGCGTGATACCATTTACCATTTGGTCAAAAGGCTTTAGACGAATTGAGATGTTTACCGTGTCTATGCGGTGCATTGTGCCAGGGCTAGCATTGCTAAGTAGCTTGCATTAACTTTTACTAGTGATTTTAAATGGATTTCTCCAAATAGCATGACAAACTTTACCTGTCTAGAATCTTCGCGACTGCGGCATCAGTGAGAAGCCCAACCTGTGCTTTTAGCGCACACCAGCGTGTGATATTCACCCACTTGTGTGATATTCAATCACTTTGGTCTTGTTTCTATATTCTGCAGCCTTTCTCTTCTTATCATACACTTCGTATACATTTTTTCTCTTTCGACCCTCAGCCATTTTCAAAGGAATGGCTGAAACCGTAACTCCGACATTATACACCTGAAAGTGAAAACTACATAGGGATGAGCACGTACGACGGCCTTACGTAAACATATCACCAGAATGATTGACACTTAGGTGGACCAATAGTATAGACTACCCACCCAGAAAAAGAAAATCCTCCGCTATACCTTTAATTTATCAAGGGACATAGAGAATGTAACTGCGCACGCCGAGAAAACCTCAGGATACTTCAGAACACTGTCATCAGCAGTAGCAATGAGCATTACAGACACAACTTCAGATGGCACATTAGGACAACTCCATACACTACATCCAGCTAAATAATTTCCTAAAATGAAGGTTACATCAAGAATTAGAAGAGATGGATGAACACCCACTATCACATCACCTATCACCAATTCTGATTTCAAGTCAACTCTGTGTAACAGAACCTCCATAATTCCCATTGCACAAGTGGTCTAAAGTTCACCCAGTTCTTGAACGGACTTCACTTTGGCAGGAAAGTTCCATATCCAGTCTTGTCAGGAATTACCATCAGGCTTTGAACAGAAGTTACCCGAAATTAACCCAAAGGGTTTTGGATTAGACTTCCTTTCAAGAATAGGACAGTTTGTAATCAAATGATCGGGAGCTTTGAGGAGAACAACAAAAACATACTCTATCACCAAACGAAATAATGGGCTTACTACTGAGTGTTGAAGTGGAACAGCACGTGTTTTATCAAATGTTTTCTGCCCACTTTAAGAAAACACGTTTCAGCGTCTGACTTTTTCACAGAAAGGAGGAACCATTCTCTGGTTTTGGTCCACTTCAAATAGAGGCAGCAGCAGTAGTTTTAACTCTCACTTCTAACTCCATCCACTTTAAAGCAAACTGATTTTGCATTTTTTTTTTAAATGTTTTCTTTTAGTGCCAATTCTTTTATCCGAACGGCAGCCACCTCTTCTGCCACACTAGTATTTTCCAAGGGCATTGCTAACACACCCAACTCAATAAGACTGCATTTCAGGATGTTACGCAGGGTTTCTTTTACATTCTTATGCCTAGAAGATATTTCGACATTATAAGAATTTGCAATAACTGCTATTTTGTTTACGATAAGAGCAGTTCTTCAGATAGAGACTCCCAAAAAACATCCACTACTGATGCCATTTTGACGCACTTACTGTATGATCACACACTTACTCACAATAGTGAAAACACAAACACTACCATTTACCCTGAAAATTGTACAAGAGATTAGACCACTCTCACTTAAAGGAGAACTCCAGCGAACAATGAACCTTTGGTCTAATAAAACATCGGTACCTAGTCGATCGTTCTCTGAGATTTGTTTTCATGATAATCGAATGTAAAGAATTTTATCTCTAAAAACTGTTTAGCGTATAATGCTAGTAATGGGGGCATTGACTAACAAGGCTCAAAATAGCCCCACACTAACACAGTAACATAATGAGTGTCCATACATGCAAAACGAAGCATTGAGAACTTTGTAAGAGTACAGACCGTTTAATAAGAAGATGTGTTATAAAGACATTTCACTTTATGTATACACAGCAGGAGCCATCTTAAAAAAGTCTCGATAAGTCGATCCCCGAATGCCGTTCATACAGTTCAGAAGTTCGCTGAACTTCATACAGTTCAGCTCACTCAGCACGACGTTCGTGGTTTGACTTATCGAGACTTATTTTCTAAGATGGCTTCTGTCTGTATACATGAAGTGAATTGTCTTTATAACGTATCTTCTTATTAAACGGTCTGTACTCTTACAAAGATCTCAATGCTTCGTTTTGCGTGTATGGACCCTCATTATGTTACTGTGTTAGTGTGGGGCTATTTTGAGCCTTGTTAGTGGTATAAACTAGCGATTTCTTTTGACTTAGTCAATGCCCCCATTACTAGTATTATACGCTAAACAGTTTTTAGAAATAAAACTCTTTACATTCGATTATCATGAAAACAAATCTCAGAGAACGATTGACTATGTACTGATGTTTTATTAGACCAAAGGTTCATTGTTCGCCGGAGTTCTCCTTTAAGATCACCAATTCACCCAACTTAACAGTATATTAACGAAATTTGGCCGCTATACGAAATTACCACAAAAATGAGTTTCAAAATCACTAGTGAAACTAAAAGCAATTCCACAACACAATTTTATTTACCCTATTTAAACGTTAATTTTATACCCTAGTTTTCAGTGGCGTTAGGGGCTTGGGGCAACTTTAAACACTGAATTCATGAACACCTGCGCACTTATCCAATTGATGGACACGAATTTGCAGATAGCGACGAGGATAGAGACAAAGAATTTGCAGATAAGTAAACTGAAGCATACCCCCACTCTGAATAGCCATTTTTAAACATAAAACACAAAATAACAAAGTAGCAGGTCCAAACCTACCTGGCAACTACAAAAACTATACTTACATGGGAGCACATTAGATACTTCCACACGAAAATAACATAAACGTAATAGTTTTGGACGAGCCCTCCTATGCACGCATAAGTTCCGCATTTGACGTAAGGATGCTCGTCCATTTCCGGTTGTGTAGATTAAAGCGGAGGAAAACCGGAGAAAACGGGATTATGGCAGAGTCTTCAATATTTACTGTCCTCCCGTCTTTGAAACGAAACGTACATACGTTTAGATGTAATTTTATATATAGTTATGTTTATTTAATATAATTTTAAAAAGAAGCATAAACACAACGAGGGGTGTCTGTTTTATCTGTTTTTGTGACTAACGTTTCATTAGTATAACCATGGAGTATAAAATTCAATATAAATTCTCGGTATTGCATTGGACTCTATGATCGGCGGAAGTTATCGAGCATCCTTAATCCTTCACCGGAAATAACGCCGTGCATAGAGCCCATTATGTTCACAGTCATAACATAGAAGAGGGTCCACACAAAAGGCTCAGTCCATTTGGGATTTTATTTACGACCAAAATCATACTGTAAGATGTGGGAGCAAATGAACTCTGGTAACAAACATTTCCAACCACTAGAGAGCAGACAAACCATTAAGAAAGTGAAAAATCTTGTGACTATTCGCTCGAATTGCTAGTTCAGGTTTGGCTGAAGGCTACAGTTTGTCCGGTCAGAACAATGATGTCTCACTCAGGATATATTCCAAATCGTTGGTTTATTAAATGTGCATAGATGTGTGGTTCTGTGAACACAAATACAGATATAAATATGTATAAACGTATACAAAACACAAACAATATAAATGAACTTATATGGTAAAATACTGACGAATAGCGGTGAAATAACAATACAATCTCTATGATAATATACTTAAAAGAGTGAGAACAGATGTTTGTGCGCTAATGCTATACACGAGCTGTGCACGAGCTGTGCATGCGAGCATGACTACTGCTGCACGTGCGGTCGAGCCTAGATGTAAACCACAGAGCGCATGTGCGCGACCTGAGATAGAATCATGCATTCAAAATACAGGAATCAATATAACTATTATAAGAATGACATCAATATATATGGATGCTAGTAATGTCACATCAGTAGAATATAACTAAGTAAACAACTTTAACCACAGATGTAAACACAGATACAGGCAAATTAGCGATTACTGAGAATGTTCAACAATTATCTGATTACTTACAGTGTGATGCACGCACACGCACAATCAGTAAAACTCCTCCGATTTGGCTAATACTCTGTATCTCACTCTAAAACTATATACACCTATTCAGCCGATCTACTTTTCCCTTCATTACCCGTCAACTCTCTTCACCGTCACTTCGCGAACTCCGGTGGAAAGTTTTGGAATAGTCCATTTCTCACTGAATGACAGGGGTGACTGGGAGAGTCCATGTGCCAAAGGGGAGCACTTTCTACAGCCGCCCCCAAATTCACAGTGTGAATTTGTCAACTTTAAGTGACTGCTACATTAAGTTCAAGGCTAGTCAGGTAGAGAGGGCAGACAAATAATTTTGGCTACAGGTCGGGTGTAAGTCTTGCCGTTAACCTGTATTTCCACAGATCTGACTCTCTTGTCCAACCCAGGAAAGACCTGAACAATTTTCCCTACAGGCCAAAGAGCGCGGGGCAGTTGTTGGTCCACTATCATGACTGTGTCACCGACCTGCAGATCCGTTTCTTCAGTTTTCCATTTCTGTCTGATTTGGAGGTTGGGTAGGTAGTGTCGAATAAAGTGCCTCCAAAAGTGGTCAGCCAAGAGCTGGCTATGTCTCCATCTCTTACGGCTCAGGAGTTCAGAGTCTTGGTATACCACTTGCGGTAATGAGGCATCTCGCCGCCCCATCAACAAGATGTTTGGGGTTACTGGATATGGATCCGCGATGTCCGAAGAAGTGTAGCCAATGGGTTTGGAGTTGAGGATACCTTCTATTTCTATGAAGACAGTTCTCAGCACTTCTTCTATGACCTTCTGGCTGCCAATGGTGACGTTAAGTGCAGCCTTCAAAGAACGAATTTCTCTCTCCCAACATCCACCGAAATGGGGTGAACTGGGTGGATTGAAGATGAATCTTATTTGTCGGCTAGCGAGTTGGGCTTGAAGCTCAGGATAAAGGGCAATGAATGACTCTTTCAGTTCCCTTTCTCCTCCTTTAAAGTTGGTGCCTTGGTCAGACAGGATCTCATAGGGTTTACCACGCCTGGAGATGAATCGCCGTAAAGCCATCAAGAAGGAATCTGTGTCAATGCTGGTGAGTATGTCTATGTGAACTGCACGGGAAGTCATGCATTTGAAGATGATTCCCCATCTTTTTTCATTCCTGCGTCCCACCTTTATAGTGTAAGGTCCAAAGCAGTCCACACCTGTTGAATAGAAGGCAGGTTGATGGATCCTCAATCTCGCAGGTGGGAGGTCTGCCATTTTTGGTGGATGCGGTTGTCTTCTCCATCTCTGACACTCTGGACATTGTCGCTGATGGTTTCTGACTGCAGCCCGTCCCCGTATCACCCAGTATTTCCTCCGAAGTTCAGCAAACACCCTATCTGGTCCTGGGTGATGTAGCCGATCATCATAGTCCTTGATTACTAGTTTGGTAGTTGGGTGAGATGAGTCAAGGACAATAGGATGTATTGTATCTTCCTCTAACTGGCTGATCTGACGCAGACGACCACCAACGCGTATGAGTTTGGTGTCCTCATCAAATTCCGGGGCTAGGCACAGCAATCGACTATTTTTTGGCAAGGATTTACCTGCTCTGAGGAAGGACAGTTCGTCTGGAAATGAGTCAGTTTGGCTCTGCTGGAGTACTGCAAGTTCTGCCTCTTTGTAGTCATCCGCTGTTGGGATATCGGTGGCCGCCCCGTTGGCATACTGAATGTAAGCCTTCAGTAACTCTGGAAGTGTATGGTATTTCTGTGGATCGGGAGTAGGTGGAGTGGTGGTTGATAGGCCAATGAAGATTGGCTTTCTCAATTCACTATCCTGATCAGTGGTTGTATATGGTGGCATCTCCGGCCAATGTTCAATTGTCTGTCTGAGGAATGTTGGCCCCTTATTCCATCTGCTTTCCTGGCCTATGTCACACAGCAGTTTTCCCTTTGTGATGTCATCGGCAGGGTTCTCCTTTGATGGCACATATCTCCAGTTATCAGACTCCGTGAGTTCTTGGATTTCTGCCACTCTGGTACCTACGAACACTTTAAACCGACATGAGTGTGACAGCAACCAGGTAAGGACAGTTGTGGAGTCAGACCACAGTGTAACACTGTGGATGGGCAAAGTTAATTCTGTCCTCAGAACTTTTGCGAGTTGTGCACCGGTGAGTGCTGCGCATAACTCCAACCTTGGAATAGTTTGCTGCTTTTTAGGGGCTACCCGAGATCTACTGGTTACAAAGGCTACTTCCACTCTACCTTCCAGGTTTTCAGTTCGCAAGTAGGCCACGGAACCATAGGCTTGCTCTGAAGCGTCACAGAAAATGTGAATCTGCCTCATGCTGGTAGGTTGATCCAGTTCTTTACTGCAGTAAGCCCTTGGCATGACAACGTGCTGTAAACCATCCAGCTCACTTTCCCATGCTTTCCACGAGTTCAACAGATTCTCAGGCAGACGGGGATCATCCCACTCTCTTTTCTTGTCCCATAACTTCTGTACGATCACCTTGGCACGTGTTGTGAATGGCACAATATAGCCTATGGGGTCATACTGGCTAGCAAGGATGTGATATATGCTCCGCATAGTTGGAAGTGGGTGGTCTGTCCGCCGCTGCTTATAAGAGAGAGTGTCTGATGAGCAATTCCAGTGTAACCCAAGAGTTGACTCTTGTGCATCTTGGTGACCCTCGCTGAGCCACTGAATGCTGCTTTGAGATCGAGCATCAACTGGCAGGTGACTGATGACCGATGGATCATTGCTAGCCCACTGTCTTAGATCAAAGCCCCCGGAACTTAAGAGACTGCGTAGTTTGTCTACCAGACCTTTAGCTGTCTCAGAGGAGGTGAAGCTCTGAAGGCAGTTGTCAACATAGAAAGATTTCTCTACTGAGAACTGTGTATCTTCAGACTCACTGTGATCCAGGACGTGCTTTTGTAACGCATATGTTGCGCAGCAAGGACTGCACGTTGTTCCGAATGGAAGTACTTGCCATTCATACACGTCTGGTGCCTCGTCTCTCTGAAGATTTCTCCAAATGAATCTAAGTAGTGGTTTGTCCTCAGGCAAAAGGCGTACCTGGTGGAACATCCCACGAATGTCACTACTAATGGCGATGGAATGTTCTCTGAATCGCAGAAGAACTGACAGGAGAGAAGGGCTGAGTGGTGGGCCAGGGAGCAAATACTCGTTCAGGTTGTGTCCTTGGTAAGCAAATGAACAGTTGAAGACAACCCTTTTCTTTCCATTATGCTCCACCAAATGATGTGGAATGTACCAGCTCTCTTTGGAACAGTCCACCTGCTCAGGAGTGAGTTTCGTGATGTACCCAGTTTGCTGTAACCGGACTATCTCCTCTTGGTAAGCTGCCGCTTGATCAGGATTCTTGTTCAGCCGATTCTCTATTCCCCTTAATTGTGGCAGGACAGCTTCTTTTGGAGCATGTAGACATGGCATATGTTTGGCACGTAAAAGAGGGGTTGCGTAGCGCTGGATTCTGTCAACCTCCACTCTCACGGTTTTGTCCTGGAGAAGTTGAATGGACTCTTTGTCTTGTCTAGACCTTGTCAGTACCTTCTCGTTTTGATACGGAAGAATGTCCATTTTCCACAGTTTCTCCACATTTGCATAAATGTCATTAGTGGGCCGTAAGCTGGTGAAAAGACATTGCTGTGGGGAAAGTCTGCTGGTTAGTTCTTGCGCTGGGCCTTGTAGTGTCCATCCTAGGCGTGTTCTCACAGCTGCAGGGCCGCCCGGTGGACCCAGTCTGACTGGTTCTATGGGTGTGATGAGGTGAGGGCAGTCAGAACCAATGAGAACTACTGGTTTCACTTTGTGAAGGTGCTGCAGTGGAAGGCCTGCAAGATGCTTGTACTTCTTCTGGAGTACCTTGATGGGATGAGTGTGCTCTGCTAAACCCAGGCTCTTGGCTGTGAATGCGCTACGTATCATGAAAGCCTTACGAGGGTTAGCCACTGAAGACACAGTGAAGGTCACAGCCGCCCCGTGAAGGGTCTGTGTATCTTGCCTGACAGTGCGGAGAACTAAGTCCTCTGGCTGACCCTTCAGATTCAACTTCTGTGCAGCTTCATGCAGGATGATGGTCCGCTCTGACCCATCATCGAGGATTGCATATGCCTCCATGGATTTGTTGCCATTTCGAAGTAGAACTTTAGCCACCTTCAGCAAAATTTTGTTATCACAGGTTGGACGATCTAGATACAAGACTGCACTGGCTGGAACCGATTCTTCTGTGGCTCTGCTCTGGTCATTTACATCATGTAAGGCCAGCAAGTGCTTTCTGTTACAAGATGGACAGAGGGCTTTCAGTGTACAATTGGCAGCATGATGACCACGCCCACAGCGCCAGCATCTATTTTGGCTTTTGATCCAATTCACCTTCTGCTCTTTGTTGAGTAACTTGAAGTTCTCACAGCCGCTCAGGAAATGTCTGTTGTTGTCGCAGTATGGACAGTAAACATTTACCCCTTCTCTCTTAGCAACAATTGGTTTGAGTGGATAAACTGGTGATGCTGGGCTGGCCTTTGGTTTCTCTGTACCAAAGAGGATAGTAGTGGGTTTGCGGGGCTGTCTAGAGTCTCTCCTCAGCTCTCTCCTCGGCACTGTAGGAACTCTAGGCTGGCTGGTATAATCAGTTTGGTCATCCTGAACTTGTAGCTCGTACTCAAGCCAGTCTGCAAAGTCCAATAATGTGGGGATAGTGACATGAAGAGGATGTGTGTACCTCTTGAAACTGGACCTGAGATCATGTGGCAGTTTGCTCAACAGTCTCGACACGTGGGATCCACACTCCAACTCTACATTGCCTTTCTGACCCAGCTGTTCCAACATACTGACCAGGGAACGCACTTGGAGTCCGAACATGCGAAAATTTTTCACATCTCCACTTCGAATGTTTGGTCCATCCATCAGTTCTGCAATGCGTTGTAAGGCTAGCTGATGTGGTTGGCCATACATTTTATTGAGGGCTCTCATGGTATTTGTGAAAGGAAAGTTTGAGTTACTGTATGAGTCTGCCACAAGTAGGGCTTCCTCCAACTTAAGATGGTCAGTGAGGATCTGATACTTGAATCGCTCTGTTGCATCCTCAGGCAAAATGTTCTCCAATGCTATTCTCAGTCGAGAGAACTCCCTAGGATCAGGGGATGTTAGGAAGGGAATGGTTGGAGCAGGGCCTCTGTACATTTTCTCTTGTATTGATGAAGGCTGATAAAACGCTTGTCTGTGGCCTGAATGCGGAAGTGGCATACTGTCATGTGCTGTGGTGTCAAACTCTGACTGATAAGCTGGAATGTGTTGGGAGGAACGAGAGTACATGGGTTGAGGTGGGTCACTGTAACGTACTTGTGATGGTACTCTATCATGCATTGAGGAGGAAATGTCCATGTTTCTGAACTTCTCAGCTAATCCAATGCGCTCATCTATTGTAGCTGTGCACCGTTCCCTCATGGCCGTAGGCGGTGTTGGGGGGTTTGTCCGTGGGGCTGGAGTAGGACGGAACCGTTGCGGAGTCTCAGGGCTCACCACAGGAGAAAAGGGACCTGGAGATAGCACTGGCAAAGTCACTGGCCTTGAGGGGGCTCTCCTTTCTGCCTTAAGACTCTGAAGTTCGTGATGTAACAAAGCATTCTGTTGCCGCATCTCCTGTAATGCTGAAATAATCTCTGGAAGCTGGCTGGTTTGTAGCCGCAAGTCAGCATTCTCGCGTTTCATCACCTGCAGCATGGATGTAAGCTCTACTTCCTCTTCTCCTCGCCCATAGAATCTTTCACTTTGCCATTCATCTCTCAGTGTCCAATCCTCATGATCTAACTCTTGACTGACAGGAGAAGTCGATCTTGTCTGTGCTGGTGACGGGACTCTGCTATGGCTAAAGTCTGGGAACGGCTGTCGATGTGACAATGGCGCACCAAGCTCATAATCCACTAAATGAGTCGGTGGGTTGATCTTTCTTCGTGGACGCACGACAGGCACTTCTCTCTCGGGTTGAGACATCTCTGTAGCAATTCACCAATCCGGCTCGAAGGACCATGAAAAATCTTGTGACTATTCGCTCGAATTGCTAGTTCAGGTTTGGCTGAAGGCTACAGTTTGTCCGGTCAGAACAATGATGTCTCACTCAGGATATATTCCAAATCGTTGGTTTATTAAATGTGCATAGATGTGTGGTTCTGTGAACACAAATACAGATATAAATATGTATAAACGTATACAAAACACAAACAATATAAATGAACTTATATGGTAAAATACTGACGAATAGCGGTGAAATAACAATACAATCTCTATGATAATATACTTAAAAGAGTGAGAACAGATGTTTGTGCGCTAATGCTATACACGAGCTGTGCACGAGCTGTGCATGCGAGCATGACTACTGCTGCACGTGCGGTCGAGCCTAGATGTAAACCACAGAGCGCATGTGCGCGACCTGAGATAGAATCATGCATTCAAAATACAGGAATCAATATAACTATTATAAGAATGACATCAATATATATGGATGCTAGTAATGTCACATCAGTAGAATATAACTAAGTAAACAACTTTAACCACAGATGTAAACACAGATACAGGCAAATTAGCGATTACTGAGAATGTTCAACAATTATCTGATTACTTACAGTGTGATGCACGCACACGCACAATCAGTAAAACTCCTCCGATTTGGCTAATACTCTGTATCTCACTCTAAAACTATATACACCTATTCAGCCGATCTACTTTTCCCTTCATTACCCGTCAACTCTCTTCACCGTCACTTCGCGAACTCCGGTGGAAAGTTTTGGAATAGTCCATTTCTCACTGAATGACAGGGGTGACTGGGAGAGTCCATGTGCCAAAGGGGAGCACTTTCTACAGAAAGGAAAAAATAACCAGTCAAACTACATGCACATGTAACAGTTGCGTTAAATATACATTCAAGCATGTTCGCTTGTTGTGCAAGAACCAATAAGGTACATTCTTGTGTTACGCAGAATGTTTGAGCTTCAGCAAGAGGTTTGTTCTTGGGCATCAACCATAGTTATATTCGCTCATAATTTGTGAATAAACGACTAAATTCATGACTAACTTTGTGTCTTCAGAAAATTTGGACTAAACCACTCAATTCATATATGGATTATGAACTTTTTGAAGCGTCAAAGTAGTAGTTTCGTAGGTGTCTATGGAGGGACAGAAAGCTAGCTGTAAGATTTCATCAAAAAGATCGGTAACACTTTACAATACGGGTGCATTAATATGCATTAATTTATGCTTTGCTAATGCACAGAAGAACTGAACCATGAATTAATGATTACTGCATCAGCAAATAATAAAGAGTCTATATAATTAATAGATTAAGTAATAAAATTAATTGCTATTAATTCAATGTGTCATTGTGTATTAATTCCTTAACATATTTTATTAACTAATATTGTAAATTAATGTGTTAATTACCATAATTAATCAAAGCTATGCATTTTAACTTCCAGTTGTCTGCTTTAATTAATCATTAGCTAATGATTTGCAAAGGTATCATTATGTTATGACTTTACTTGTTGGGGCACATCATTATTAACTAGTCATTTAGTAATTGTAGTAATTTGCACATGAATTTGCACTAACAATTAAGTAATTAATCATGTATTAATGCATATTAGTGTACCTGTCATATTATCTGGAAGTTGAAATACAGGGCTTTGGCTCATTCTGGTAATTTACATATTAATGAACACTATCAGTTAAAAAAATGAGTTATTGTGGAATTAATCCACAGTTAAATATTTAATGTTTCATTCATGAAACGAATTAATACATTAACCTTACATACTCTTAATTAGTTCCTAATGTGGTAATCATTAATGAATGGCTTTAATAATCATTAGTTACACATTAATTCAGTATTATCTGTGCATTAGTTAAGCATGAAATAATGCTTATTAGTGCACCCGTATTGTAAAGTGTTACCAAAAGATCTTCATTTGTGTTCTGAAGATACACGAAAGTCTTATAGGTTTGGAATAACATGAGGGTGAATAATTAATGACAGAATTTTCAGTTTTGGGTGAACTATACCTTTAAGTAGCATCTGTGCCACATTAGGAAACTGCATAAATACACTTGTTGTGGTATATTGGCAGCTTTAGATGAGTCAAACACTAGCCTTAATAATCGGCAGGTCTAAATCGTATTTTTGACATTTCACACAGTAACAGAATTCTAAGTTTTGAAATGTAATTATTTGCCTTTTACATATTCAACAGACATGGACTATCAGAGGCAGAGTTACAAGATGTCTTGTCATTAGATAATGACGTTCTGGCCGAGATCTATAAGTACCGGCTTCCTCCAAGCCACACACTCTTGCGGTTCCCACGTCTTCATTGGTCACGTCTCCGACATGACCTGAGAGATCATCTGGCGGAGAGATGGGAAGGGGGTGTTATTCTACTGGGTTTCGCTCACAGGTAAAGGTTTGCTTAGACCTTTATGTTGGTCGCCGACATTTTCAATTTGTGATGAAAATGTAATGTTTTCTTTCCTGATTGCATAAATGGAATGGATAAAAAAATCAGGCAGGGAAAAGTTTCAAAAACGCAACTCATTGAATGAATGAGCTAACTGACCAATGATAACCAGTCGAAACATAAGTATGTAAGTAAAA